GTCGAAGCGAATCGCGCGTTTTTCCTGTTTATTGCGCAGTGGAAAAATCGAAGAATGCGGGAGAGATTATTGTATAGAATATCCGACGATAAGTGGCGTGTATTTAAACGCGCCGTTTGAAAATCCGAATGGAAGAATCCGAAGGTAAAGAAAAAGCGAATTTGCACGATACAATGCCGCGGTTAATTTCCATAGAGGGATCCCTATGGAAGACGGTTCGGCGGATGCCTGGCTCAGCAAGGGAGCATCCTCTTTCCTTTTGCACGACGAAAATATCGTTGGGCTATTACCACGGGGCGCGACTGGAGAAACGTATACAGCCACGGTATGTAACAGGCCACAATTTCTCGAACAAAGCCACTAACAAGTGAGCGCGGCCTCTTGTGAATCAGGCTATATCTACCAAGTGTACGTACAGTGACCCGACGTGCTCGTGAGTTCGAGCAATAATCCCTTGACACCGGCAACCGAGCTGTTAGCTTCACGCACCATCGTCTCTTTTCTCCCTCTCCCTCTCCCTGTCCCCTTCTCTCTCTCTCTCTCTCTTTGTATCGTATACGCCCGCGATATACTATATCGGGTTGTATATATACGCGGATCCCAAGCCGCAAGAATTTACTTTTCACCGAGCTGCGCGAACAGAAATGATCGTTGAATCTGAAAACGTATCCAACCAACACAAGATTGTGGCAAGAAAGTAGCCTTTGTCTTCCCTCTCGAACAATATTTCTTCTACGTTTTCTGCGTTTGTTTCACAAAGTTCGTCGCAAAATGGCACGCAGTCGTTCGCGATTACCAAACCAGATTGCGATCTCTCCAACGATAAAATTTTTTGTTTTTTTTTCCGTTCGCTACGGAGGGAGAATCGAGTTTAGAAGCGAAAGTGATTTATAAACCGGTGTAGAAAAGACGCGAGATCAGAGACAAAAATACGTTGCGCAAAATGGTGGTTATATTAACGATCGAAAAGAAGCGATCCAAGATGCGATCGAGCTTTTACCGTGCAACAAACTACATTGTTGCCGGCTCGATTGATTTATACTCCCTCCGCGTTCGTGCAACAGGTGTGTCGCGCGCAGCGACGATATTCTTTTTTCATTTCGACGCGAAATAACACGATTTTTGAGAAACGTGGAAAGGGAAAACGAATCGAACGAGACGAATTGAAAGAGGCGAATATACATGCGAAACGGCGAGTCGAGCGAATACGACGTCGAGGAGCATCGAGCAAAGAGGAAAAAAATTGGAGAAAAAACATGTTGGCTACACGCCAAACGCGAGAAAGACCGTTGCACGACGAGGCATCGTCTTTCTTCGCAAAGGAAATATCTTCTCTAAAATCGTTTTACGGCACACTAAATTATCGTATTCTATAGAAATAATGTTACTCGATTTTATTGTTCTACGCGAAAGGTAAAATTCCCTTCGAATCGTAAACTGGTGGCCGAGACGTTAAGCTTGAATCGCGAGAATAGATTTTAATATCTGCTTCTTTTCTTCTTCTTTTTTTTTACGATTCAAATTTCAAAGGAAGAAAAACGTTGTAACGCGGAAAGTAGTGGTTCACGAGATCGAAGACAGATTTCTATTATCGACTCGGACGAATCGATTTCCTGGAGATTAGAAGCGGCCATTGAGCATATCGAATTGGAGAAAGGTAGGAAAAATTGTGCAAACAGAGCGACGAGGCAAGCGTTATTCTCCAATTCCGATTCGCGTTCCTTTCCGCCGCGTATCCCACTTACGCTCGCGGGCCAAGTGTCTTTACACCTCGTTAGTCACTGTCTCGGAGAAAACGGACGTCGGCTCGATTTACGATCCGCAGACAGGAAGAAAGATTTCCATCCTGGATCCAGTCTACTACTCGACTTTGTTTTTTATCCGCTTTTCCATCGATTTTTCTCGACTTGACATAGAGCAAGCAACAATTTTTTTTTTTTTATATCCAAAATTCCTTAATAATAATATCGTTAATCTCGAAATTAACGAAACGAATTGATGAGTAAATTCCAAGTAACTAAAGTTTTGATGAACGAACCGATGAATGAAAATGGTATTCGAACATCTTTTGTAAAAGCTATTATTGAGAAACCTGAATCATCTACACGATCGAAACTTTAACAGACATTTCTCTAAAAATTAATTATTTTCGTTAAATTGCGAGCTGAACTTTCACGATTATTAAACTGTAGTCTGTTTCGAATTGTCGATCGATTTACAAAAATAAAAAAAAGAAACGATGTTAAGAATCAAAAGTTAACCAACAACGATTCCCAGAAGTTGAGAAACACTGCGGCAATAACGCGTTAAAATAACGCTGCTGCACGGGCGAATGAAAAGGAGAGGTAGATATCGAATCTACGAAATCGTTTCCGTTTCCGTGCTTTCGAGTACGTGCGTGAAAGAAGAAGAAGAAAAGAAAAAAAGTGTTTCAAAGTGGCCAAGATCGTAGTGATGCGCACGCGAGCGCGGATTTAATTTGCCGGAAATCGTATGCCGGAAACGAGAGCGAAACGTCCGATGGCGGAACGTGATAGGAATGACGGTGTCACACCAGTTTGACCCTCCTTTGCGTCCGTCTACAACGCATACAACACGTCTGTGCCGCACCGGAAAAAACAAGATTAGCAATAGATCGCGCAAGGGAACGCGTTAATTTTAATGGACTTACTTATTTAACCGTGTAAATTAAGATTTCTATCTGTAGGTGTGAGAATGATTTAAGTGTCAGGTCGTATCGCATGAAATTGACGTTTTTTTTTTTTGGTTCGAAGAAAAATATATTTTCGAAACGAAATATTGTTTTCAGCGGGAAGAAATTCTTTAAATGCATGATTACAGTTTCTCGAGTATTTTATTTTTTAAAAACAATAAAAACAAGTGATAATCGGTTGGTGATTTGTGATGTACGCGTCGGGAAGAGTGGATCCGTGTTTATCGATTAATGCAGATTGTTTTTTTTCCTTTGTTTCGGAAAAGAATAACCAATTATTCCCTTAAAAGTTACTATAACTTTTTTAGACATTTAAGATTTTCATTAGTATTGATATCAACCATTGTCCAGATCGTGTACGTACAATATGCATTTATAATTTTATTCAAAAATAGATTTCTAGCTAGGACGCGATAAGCAAATTTTCAAACGCCGCAACTTTTGATTTTCTATTATTTTTTCACTTTATTCCATTTCATTTAAATGTCTGTAATTGGAGATACGTCTAACTCTGCGGATATTTGTTCGTGGATTAGCTTCCATTTTCTGACTTTCAATTTATTTTTAATATGGATTTCCGTCCATCTCGTTTACCACACCAATTTTTGAAACCATCACTGAACCATCATTCTCTAATCAATAGAATTTTCTTCGAAAGCTATCCTAATATTTCGATACGCTTCAGCTGCACTGTAGTTCAGCTTAAACTCATGCAGAAATAATATAAATTTCTAAATTCGTTCGGTGGTACTATATCGTTTTCAGAAAGCAATTAAATTAATACAAAAAAGAACTTATTATAAAGAAGGAAGTATAAGGGTGAAAATATGCTAAGCATAAAATATAGGTTAAATAGAGTTGACAATTTCATATTATATAATATATACTTTTATATACTCTTCTCTTTTGCTCAAAAATACATCGAGGTAGATCAAGAGTTAGCCAAATGTGATTTTCTCGAAAGCAGAGATTAAAAATGAACATCGTTTTAAATCCATTTTTCTATATCTGAAAAATCTTTCGCGTGTCCAATATTTTAATGAACAATTTACGCGAGAATGACAATTCCATCCGTGGGTGGTACGAATTAAAAAAAAAATGTCCATAACGTTTTACCAACGAATAATATATACCGTATTGCGCGTGTAGGACATTTCGTTGAAATAAATTAACTGTCAGCTCGAAACGACGAACGAACGACTGTTCATCTTTGTTTGTCGGATAGAATAACGATGATTGGGGAGGGAGACAACGTTGGAAACGCTCCACGCTCTTTTTTCTCGACGCGTAAAAATAAATTGCGGTTAACCGGGGAACGCCCCCAGTTTCCAAAGCTCGAGAAAAATTTCGCGAAAAAATGAATTCTGACACTCGGTATTGGGGACTCGAAACATCCGATGAAACCAGAGGAAATTTTCACGCGAGACAAGTTTCGTTCGAGAGCGAACTAGCCTTTCGAACTAGCTGGTAATAAAACGATCCGCGCACGCGCGTGTATACCAGATAAATGAGAATAGGTATATACTGTTCACTGGTGAGAAAAAGTCTCGCGGGACGGCACAGGGGCAAGAGGGGTCCCTCGCTAAAACGCTTCTCTCCCCACTCTACGCGCTTCGTTGACGATCCTGACACCACACGCTACAAGTAGTGGAAGAGCCTATCTACAATTCGAACTTTAAAAATTATTTTCATTTATGAAGTTATATTAGGATTATTATCTAAGACTATTTTGATATACATACGATTCTATATACATATCGTTACGAATATATAATTAGCCCATTAGTATATTATATCGATAGAATACTCTAAATTCTATGATTTAGATACAGATCGTCGTTTCATTGCCTCTCTGTGTCACGGTCGGATTGGTATACGCGATAAATAATACGCTAGGAAGAAAATGGTTAATATGCGTGTGAGAGTAGGCATATTAACCAATCAGACCCGCGAAACTTCTTTCCAGCAGTAGCAGGTTTCTATGGAACACCCTTCGCGCTTCTTCTTCGACCGTATGCTTGAGCATTCCCCTCTCTGACCCTATTTTCGGAGCACGCGTCCCAATCGTTTCGCCCTTCCTCCCTATGAGCGCACGTGTCGCCAACAGAATGCTGTTACGCACTTTGATCGCCATTTCACGCCATTTTCGAGATTCGAAATTATTAATTATTTCGGGGGAAATGGATCGAATATTTTTCGTCGAAACGAAAATTTTCTTCTTCGGTCCATCTCTCGCCGAATCATACCCGACTCGAGAACTGGAATAAAGTGATGATATTGTTTCAAGCGGCCGAAGTAAATGGATTGACGGACGATTAGTAGAGTATGTACAGAAGAAGAGGTGGAATTCGGAGGATGGAGGTACGAGGGGGTGAGTTATCTATAATTATTCAATTTATCCCAACGCAACGCGCATGCATATCCATCGGGTACACGAGTAAGAATGGAAACGCGATCCGTCCGTGACGAGTGTCGTCGCTCCAGTTGTTCCATTCGCTGCGAGACGGGACGCGACGGTTAAGTGGAAACGATCGAGTACATACGCGTTACATTATTATTTCGATTGTTGCTTTCGCCACGGTTCGTGCGCTCCCCTCTCCTCCTGGATTCCATTGGCGCGGCTTTTCGAAATCGAGCAGCCGTGCCGTGGCTCCTGTCAAAATTCGTCAAGCCCTGTCAAAACGTCCGTGTTCCCTTCCAAACAGAGAACCCCTTCTCCCACCTCCCCCTTTCCTTTCTTTCGAAAGCTGTTCCATTTTTTTTCCTTTTTTTTTATTTTTCCACCGTTATCCCTCTCGTCCACTAATCCGGATTCGATTTAACGGGCAGAGGCTTGCCAAGATCATCAATTATTTTTTTCTTCTGTTCGTTATTTCGAGATTTAATTTTATACACGTGTATCGAAGAAATGAAAATAAATTTCATGCGATAAAACACGAATCATTTTGATCGGTTTGCTTGTTGTAATAAATGGTGTACGTAAGTCATATTCGAAATTTTCGTCTCGATACCTGTGATTTGACGAGTTTAGATGTAATTCCAAGCTTTTCGTGATAAGTGAAAATTTTTATGAAGAAATGCTGTTTGTGATAATCTTTTTCCTGGCGAAAACAATTTATATAGTATATGATATATATATTTACTAAATGATTCTTTTAACAGAATATTTCACAAGTTCCATATCATATAGATAATGTACACAATTTCAAACAGACTTTGTCGCACAGATCAATATATATATATATATATCGATATGCATTAAAACTCGATATTTCCGATTTATCGCAATAGTTTCAAAAATATATGATTTTACATTCGAATATAAATTAATGTTAAAGTATTAAATCATTTCAGTTTTCATTAATTAACACGCAGCATTGAAAACTTTATAATACTTAAAAAAGAAAACTATATAATATTTTGATATAGATTTCAACCAACGCAAAATTATAATTTCATCATAAACGAAATATTGAATAGATTTACTATTTTACTTTGAATTGTCGAGTGCAAAGAATCAAATTCATAAACTAAATATCACACCTGCGCCATATCTGTAACGCTGCAATTTCATTTCAATCTGAATAATCGATATTGTCTGGAATAATTCATTTAAATTTGATGAACTTTGTCTTTTCCAACGCGCGCTCACGTCACCGTGTTACGTAACTCGCCTCGTTCTTCCTTTTTCCCGCGAGCAGATTCTTCCACCTGAAGCCATTGCACTCGCGCGATAAGAGACTCGCGGTGAAACAACGCAATCGAATGCGAATTATCATATTAATCGGCATTGTGATTCGTAATAGAGGTTATCGCCTACGGCATCTACGTTATCTACCTGGTCAATCGTCCACGCCTCTTCTCTTTCTCGCTTTATTGCGTATTTACGCGCTGTTTACGAAATCCACCGCGCGTATTCTTTCTTTCTTTCGTTCCACGCTCGACAGAGGCGCGTTAAGGAGGCCCGGTTACGCATGCGCGCGATGGAAGGGCACGCGTCAATTTCTTGCCATTTGCTTCTCGGCAATTCTTTTTCGTTCGGGATTAAGATATCTTGTGCGCACACTCCTCGATTTCTAACGTATAAATTTCATTTTCTCTTTAGACAGAAGATGTTCCGTTTGAATTTTCTTTTCCTGTATAATAATATACATTTGCATTCGACTCGAAATACGATAGTTAAATTAGACTTGCATAACTTTCTTATTTTCATAAGAGACGTTAATACGTGAGATAAATTGTAAACTCTGTATAACGCGATCGAAGAAAACATCATCGAAATATTCATTTCGTACGAATGTAACGATCGGCGGTGACGTTAATTAAATTGCAAAGTACGTATCGGCCGATTCGAGTTTTAAATTTAATAATTTGTCCGCGCTCGAGTAATAAAGTATCGGTATGGAATTCGATTCGACTTTAATCGCGCAATCGGAAACATCGTGCGAGCCACGTTTAAGGCTTTAACCGCGTATACCAAGTGGACTCGCATAGTTTACTCGCATTAAGCGAGAGCAAAGCGGCGCAGAAACGGGACAGGTTAGGTGAATGGATATGTACGAGTAGGTGAGTAGGTAGGTAGGTAGGCAGATAGCTGGGGCAACAGAGGTTGGTCGTGTAGGTAGAGAGGTAACGCGCACATTGATGCACACGTGTTTGCGCCCTGGAGATTCGATGCAACTACCGAAAGACGACATCCTTTCTTAGATGATCCATAATTCGAACTAAAATACGTGCCTTATTCACAAGAAAGTCTCGACAACAAATATTGTATAATAAAAATCCTCCTAGTTAAAAGAAAAGATCGTTGTATGTACGACCACTTGAATCGATTCACGAACGTAACGTGTAAAAGTGTGCTCGACGATGCATTTTCTGTATAAACAATGTTCTAACTGTCGAGCAGTACAGGATCGGTGACTTTGCTCCTGCTCACGTTTTGGAACAATACTAATCAAGTGATGGTATTGTGCCCGCGTAGTTTACGAGTGGCGCACATATGCTGTTTTTCCACGTTGGGACATCAGACGAAGAAATTGTAAATCATCAGAAGCGGGGACAGAGCTCGTTCCCCATTATTGTATTATCTCTTCTTCCATACGTAGAGAATATTACGTTACATTTACACCGCAAAAAGGATTTGCGTGAAATTAATGGTAAGTGTATAAATAATCGAATAATCGAGTTCGCGAAATGCGTTCAATTTGCCGTCGAGTTGGATCCATTATAACCGATTTCTGACCGAAATCGGTGAATCGAAATCGTTCGCGCATCGCCGGATTATTATCGGCAACAATGGCGTCGAGGCGTTTAATTTTTCGTTCCACCGACTTCTCCTTCCCCCCACTCCCCCCGGAGATTGGCGGGATTGGGTGTCGCGGAGATCGCAATATGTCGCGTGCCACGCTCCCTTCGAAATGGTTATAGCTCTGTCCCCCTCCCCCCCCCAAAAAGGGGGAACTCGTATCGAAACCGCGTTTTTTTCTCTCCCACATTGCCAAGTTTACGAACCACGAATATATAGCTTTGCGGTGTTGTATCCTTCTCCGAAGGGGAAGATATTTTATCGGCCACGTTCGTGTAACGTAATGAAAAGTCGAACCGCTTTTTGGCAGCGCTCGCGTTTCTCCTACCGCACATTCACATAAATGGAAATTTTCTCGGGTAATTGAACGACACGCGTGCTCTCCTCGATCCTCTTCCGCCGGAACGGTTTAATCAAATATAACACACGTTTCAACCATGCTCTCTCTGTCATTGAATTGCGATAAGGTGTTACGAGAACGGATCGAATGACGATTCTTTTTCTTTTCTTATTTTTTCTTCCACTCGAGGGGGATCATAATAAATGTGAAGCGTTTTTTGAAAGGTCGATTTGTATATAAATTTTAAATAATAATGGAAAATTAAATGCGTGTTTAAGAAAATTAAAGGAACATTGATTTTCGAACATTGTTCGAAATGAATGAAGCGCGAAATTGAAATTGTTTAGCAACGCGGCATTTTATATACAAGTCAACGTGAAGATTTTACTTTTGTTTAATCGTTTCGATTATTATTATTATTATTATTATTATTATTATTATGAGAAACGATTATTTATCGATTTGTTTAAGTTGCACAAATTTCAATATTAAATTAAAACGCGTAAATAATAAATGAATAACGCGCGTTGAATGGATCGGATTGAAGCAAAAGTCAAAGGAACGCGGATAAAATTGTTCGTTTTATTGCAAATGGAATGGAAAATACGCTTCTTTTTCTTTTTTTNTTTTTTTTTTTTTTAATAAAATAAACGCATCGGATGAAATCGAATCGATTATTTTTTATACATCTTTTTTAAATCGCTTGCACGATCCAACAATTTCGTTGCAATCATTATTTATTATTTCCATTTATTAGTAATAATGTAGTATGACGCAAACGCAACAAAATATTCACATTAGTAATACTTTA